ACTGAAGCATTCATTGATTCTCTGGATAGGAAATGCTTATTCCATGAGTGTATGTTTGGGTATGCAAGGTGAGTATTGGAACAGCTGTGGGACACACCCAACCCTCGCGCAGGTTTACGACAGGTGAGTTTTCTTACTGCAGGTGTGGCCATCTTGTTCTGAGCCTTTTGAATCTTGTTTATATGTTAAACCTACCCCCAAGGAAGAAGAAGTGAGAACTGGGTTGCATTTATTTCGACCTGTACTTTACATAGTGTTCTATAGGTGAAAAGGTAAATGTTTTTATGAGAAGTGAACAGTTTTTTTTATTTTTATTTTTTTTTATTTTTATTTTTTCTTCCTCAAAACATACAATCAGCAGGGATACATACAATCATACATATACCCTGAATTGCGTACATTTTTTACAACACTTATGCAGTATGCTGGATAACAAAATGCAGGCGGCTACCACAAATGCTAGCTACAACATTAAACAGAGCACTGAATCCAAAGCTCAGTCTAGGAAACAGACTTATTGTGTAGTTTGACTGCAATGTGTAGGAATGATCCCCTTAAACGTTCAGTTCTGGCCTTCGGAAGCGTAAACTCCTGATTGTTCCTTAATTGCCTGCCAGTGGCTGTACATCTCTGGGGCGGCACAAGGTCATGCAAAGGATGTTCCGGTTTTAACATGTCCTTGAAGAGTTTTACAGCTGCTGCATCTCTTCTTTCCTTCAAGGAGGGTAGGTTAGGAACTGATCGTCTACCGCCAAGAGAGATGATACGGAGGGCCCGTTTCTGTACACGTTCGATGCTGTCCGATTGTTCCTTGCTGCAACCTACCAGCAGTACGTGGCCGTATTCAAGAACGCTGCGAATAAGTGACAGGTAAATCTGAACAAGGTCAACAACACTCATCCCCTGTCTAGTCAGTAGTCGAAGATAGTGCAGCCTGCTCGAGGCTCTTGAGACGAGGGATTGTACATGGTCGTGCCATGACAGCTTGCAGTCGAAGGTGAACCCAAGGCCCTTTGCGACGCTTGTGAAAGGTACAGGTTCACCACCAAGAGACAGTAGTGGTAATGGTGGAGTGTTTCTGCTGAAGCATATCAACAGAGACTGGCTTTTCTTGCCGTTCAGCAACATGTCATTACACTCTGCCCAAGAGTCAAGCTGTTGCGCTTCCTCTCTCATACTGTTGTCGGCGTCACCCTTCCCCAGGGGAATTAACCTGGACAAACCCACATCGTCCGCGTAGCCGACATCAAGGGTGTCACTGTGGACTGTGTCTCGAGAACCCATGAACAGGAGGAAAAGGTATGGCGATAGTACTCCTCCCTGTGGTACACCCGAGGTAAGTACCCTCCACTCGCTGACTTTGCCGTTGGCAACAACTCTCTGAGTGCGACCTTGCAGATAGTTCTGTATCCAGGCTACCATGCGTGGGTTGGTCACCACATCGTTCACACGTTGTAGGAGAATTGCATGGTTCACTCTATCAAATGCTTTACTCATATCTGCGAACAAAGCATGGACTGCTGCATGACGTCTTGAGTCTAAAGCTGTCAGCCAAGTGTGAACCATCCTGACGGCGGCTAAAACAGTGGAGGAACCCTTCAGGTAAGCGTACTGATTTCTGATGGCAGGTGAAATAGAAGGGAGAAGTCTTAACAGAGTGTTGTCAGATTTGTCCAGAATAATATAAACCCACCTAAGACCAGAGTCAAACAAAGGTGTCATAATTCATAAAATGTTTGTTGAATCATTTATGTATATGTAAGAAATTTGACTATGCCAGCCAACCACAACATTCCAGTGTCAACTATTATAAAATTAATATACCAGCCAGGTTTGAATGGGCTCTGACACTATATGAGTTGAAATTATATCGAAATTATGTCAATCAATGCTGAATTTCCTTTTTTTTTCCCAGACATTTCCAGTTTCTCATGGAAAAGTTGGTTCTTCACTGACATCAAAGGCCATCCCGAAACCTTTCATAGCAGCTGACATCTTTCATATCTGCCTGCAATCTGCTGACAGAAACAGACACAGGCCAGGGCAGGGAGGGAGCAGTAGAACCATCATCTATCACCATGACAACCGTGCTGCCAAGGGCATTCATCACGGCTGACCTTGACCTCCAAACCTCAGTAATACCGGCTTCCGAAATCAATCAACGCCGGGTCAAAACATGGAGGACACACTGGATTGGCAAGGGGACAAATCTTGTGTTTGTGTTGCGTAATTTAAACAGTATGTGCATTCATATATATATATGGTGTTGGAAATTATTTTCTCATATCTTTCCATCTGAAATTCCCATTGCTTAAACTCAACTTTGTATTTTGTATCTATTTATCATGAAATTCAGTTATGTGAATCATGAAACTGTAACAGTTAAATTTTTTGCGGAAAACATGAATTCATGACGTCGCAACTATCTTCCTCTTCGGTGTAATGTAGCCAGCTGCTGCCGCGCCGCTTGCCTGCGAAGCTGGTGTGTTATGCCAAAGGGTGGTTATACCGACTTTACAGATACAGATTCCTTGTATAACTATATGTTAATGTTAGAATTGTTTCAACTGTGAATCTATAACACTGTCAAAAACAACCCTTTCCCTCCTAAGTGAAATAAAACTATCACATACACAAAAGTTTTCTGAGTTACAGTAACTTGTCGTTCCCACACTATTGTGTCTACCACTAGTAAAAGGTCAACCATCAGTAGACCAAAGGTGAAACCATTGGAAAGCATATTATTAACATTGGCTGCATTTCAAATTCTCGACCCAATGATTGATTGACAGAAAAACATATCACGTTACCCACTGCCTTTCACCACTGGTATAGTCATTTAATATACGGCTATCGTGATCAAAATAGCTCTCCATAATTAGTCTTTGTATGGCATGTGTTAGATATAAATACACTTGGTAATAGTGGTAATATACCCTGTATAGGGGTAGTAATTTATTACTTCTTTGGCATTACAAAAGGTCAATATACAACACGAGAAAACATGATAAATACTGTAATTCATTTTATGTTCATGCTAGCAAAAGTTCACTGTCTGAGAAAAATGGACATGTTCACAGAACTACATATTCATGGTGGCCACAGGTGCAGGGAAAAGAAAGTCCAGGAATTATATGTTAACTGTAATGATAAGTTCACGGTACAGCAGTGACAGTGAAAACAGTCAACATAACAGTACGGTAAAAAAAATCAGGAATTAAACTAATATTTTCCATTGATATTAGCTATCTTGCAGACATTTCTGAAAAATTACTGGTAACTTACTCTGTATAGGAACAATGGACATTTCCTGTATTAACTGGAAATATCCTGGACTAACAGGAAATATGAACCATGCATAGCCTTGGAAAAAAAACATTGTCATGATGATTGTGTTTCCATCTAGGTTTCCAGACAGCAAAAAACCTGCCAACCCTAGCCATTAGTATTTGGGTTAATCACGAAAATCCTTTCCTAACGTCACTATTTTTTTTCGGGACTGAAATGGGAACCACAACATCTTTTTTCTTAGGCCTTCTCTAAATCAAAGATGGAGGACAACATCAATCCATATTCTAGGATGTTCCACTAACTGCTGGAGAAGGGGGGGGGGGGCTGCATTCACAAGAAAGATCACGGAAAGTCCAGTCCCTATCACTCATGTTTTCTAGGTTGAGGATTATCTACAGCTCTGGACAGATTTTGATTGAATGCGGCTGGTCGAAAGGCTAGAAATCTACTATGGTCTATTCCTGAACTTTTCTCATACCTACAATTTCTGAAATCCATTCTTTTGGGGCGCAACAATATTGTAATGTGGAATAGGGGAGGGGTACGTAGGTTTGCTAGCCGAGTGAAAATAATGGGCGAAAGGGGCAACATGAATAATTATTTTCAAGGACTGTGTCCAAATCTTTGGGACAGTTTTTGCTAAAAAGAAAATTAGCATTATCAATCAGCAATTTTGTTGGCACTATATAACATTGCAGTATTTCTAATTCTTCAAATATCTAGTCATCTTAAGTACTGCTAAGCCCAATTAACATTGGATTACTAGCAGCTGCACATGTTGGGACAGACAGCAACTGACATTGCATTATTTTTCGGTTCTACAATTTCAAAAATTCCCTATTTTTATTCGTCCTTTTGTTAGAGAATCAGAGCATATCCTTGGCTAGCTGGTGGTTGAACAAGTGTTAGGAACCCTCACAATAGGACCCCTCTTTCACACCCTCTCACCATGTTCAACAATGAAACTCCCCACTTGTTTGCATACCAATACACATCACACACACACAGTAGCCTTGATCCCACACTATTCATATTCATGTACGGACAAATTAAGGTTCCTCCCCCTACCTTAAAACACCACAAAAACAGAACAATCAGCTTCTAACCCCATAAAAATGATCGGGATGCATGAAAATATAATAAAAAGCGCAATCAAACCATTACAAAGGCAACCTGTTGAGGATATGTTTTGATTTTGATTAGCACTGGATCTGTGTTGTAACAGAGGGAGTCAATTTCATCAATATTCAGGGCGCCGCTATCTTACTAATAAGTCATATCTAGCTCTCCCCAAATCAGTGGCCGTCTAGATGATACCATACACGATACAGGTGAAAAATATCCGGTAAAGAAGCCACCCTAAAGCAGAGAAAAAATGGCTACCGGACCTACAGCTTGCTTGCGACTATGACTGAGCTTGCATACTGACCAGATCTTGCACATCTGTAGACGTTGTTGGCCTTTATTTTGATCGTTGTGTCCTATTTTAGGGTCATGTTTGCGATCATTTCTGGGGTACAAAACACGACAAAAACATCAAGAATATTCTACGGAACGTAAATTTGCCGAAGACGCCGAGAAAGGGGGCGAAGTAATGTCGGCAAGGCCGTGGGAAGAACGAAGAAGCACCGATCGTTTTTTTTCTGCAAGCGCTACATAAACATGTTATCCATTTTTCTCTACCGAAAACAGCCATAGCAGCCACCTACCCATTTTCGCTCCTTCTTCCTAGCTCCTCTCTCGCTCCTAAAATCACCTCCACCTCCTAAAAAAATCCCAGAGTCGAGGAAAACCTTCCACGCGTTGTTGGCACAAGGCTGGGGCTTGGGTTTCTCTCTTTTTTTCGTCGTGGTCCAACCGGAATTTTGTCACGGCCACCGCTCAGCGGAACAACCACACCCGCTCCACAACAAGCGGGCGAGCTTCGGGCTGGCTTTCGTATGCAAATTTAGTCGTGACGTCACCGCGGCGGGAAATTTGAATGTGCATGAAGGGGATTCCCCCGATATAGTGTGTTTGTTTACCTTCGCGAAAAAGGGAAAGTGGGCGAGTAAAAAAAAAAAAACATTTGCCAACAGTTCAGGATATCTCTGACTTAATAGTCATTCTGTGTTAATCTGTCTTATAAATAAATAAATAATAAATAATCTGTCTATAGATTTATAAGACTTTTATTTAATATGTTTTTGAATACCTGTGCGGGGGATTCCCCCGATATAGTGTGTTTGTTTACCTTCGCGAAAAAGGGAAAGTGGGCAGGGTCTAGGGGAAAATATTGTTTCCTGTTTCGTCCTGAAAAAATTAGGGTCGGTAGGTAGGGATTATCTTTTTTTTCTTTTTAGACTTCAGTGATATCTATATAGGGGTCCAACTTATATAATACAGTTTATCAAAGTAAAACTTGCATGAGAACACTTTTATTTTCAATGTCAATGTTAGGAAACCAATTGTACAACGTTTTATCACTCAGGTGTCAGATCATGGAGCTAGAAAAGGTTGACCAGCTAAATTTTACTGTTTTTGAATCCGAGCTGTTATCCTGGTAGAGACTAAATCTAAAAACTGGACAAGTCTGTCCTCCTCAAAAATGAGGAGTGTCCTTTAATACCCTACAAGCAGAGGTTTGGGTTTTGCCTTATTTTTAGGCTTTTTTTATCGGGCTTTCTTTTTTGCATTGGTATCTTTGTAAAAAAAAAAGGTGTCACTATCAATGTCACAATGCAGATACTAAAAATAAGCCAAACCTAAACCTCTGCTTGGAGAGTAGACTGTCCTGGGTGGCCTTCCCACATGCCTCTCTCCTCTTACAATCATCGTCATTATCCTCTTCAACAAACCGTGTCTGAAATTGATTAGCGAACTGAAAACTGATAAGGGACTCCCGGGTACCAATTTACGGTAGTCCCAGACAAGGAGAAGACCGCGCATCCCGATTCCTGAATCCCACAACTCGTTCTGCCAGGGGCTTTTGTCCAAGCTAAGGCCACAGCAAGTAATTTTTATGGATGACATCAGTTCGCGTATTAATTTTTGCCTGATTTTGGAAAAATAGAAATTTTGTTGCCCGTTGACAGTGGTCAACATGCCAAAAATGGGCAAATATGTCTGTTGCCATGCTGGAACTACTTGGATGGCAGATAAATGTTAAGAGACAAGACAAGGCTCTGATTTATTGTTTTGTCTTTTACTTTGTTTACAGTGCTGTATTTCATTCCTTCATATGTGATGTTGCTGCTGAATAAAAAAAAAATTATTGTTTAACAAGGTTTATGATCTCAAAATTTGAAAATATAGAAATCTTGTTTTTTTGGCTCACCTTGGCCCCTATTGCATAAGATTTGGTGTCTGTGGAGGATGTCATTCATAAGGCCACAACAATTTAATTTGTTGTTTCTCGGATTTTTTCAGGAAAAATATGAAGCTATAGGACGAAAAAAACAACAACAAAAATTAGGCCTTTCATTGAGCATTTTGCAGATGATTTAGGACAAAAAAATGTTTTGTTTTTTTTGCAAATCAGAAAAAAATGGACAGGGCGAATCCGAGAAACAACAAATTGAAATGGTGTGGCCTAACATTTCCTTCCCACAGCTCATCCCGCCAGCGGCTTTTGTCCGGGCTAATGATCGATAATGACTCATGAATTTTTGATGAACCTTTACTCTGAGAAGAATTCGCAGCATGTGAGCATCTAGTGTCGGGTCACAGGAAGCTAATGTTGGTGGCTGTTGCTAAATTCCCTCCCAAAGGTGGTTGGTGGTTTCATGAAAAAGAAATAAGATACCTTAAAAATACTACAACTTTTATATCGAAAAGGGGGAATGGGAGCAGCCATTAAAAATGAATGGGGAAATTTAAGTAAGGGTCAGACCACTTAAGCTCCAAGCAGTGGTTAGGCATGCTTTGATACTTTTTTTTAAAAGCTTGTATTTACTTTTTTCAGACGTTTTGTTGGACAAAGGCGATTCAATCAAACTTTCAATTTTGGTGGCTTTTATTCTGGTATCCTGCCTAACAAAAGAAAAGTTGCCCCCCCATCATAATTTTTTTTGGGGGGATGGCGGCCGCCCCCCTTGTCCCCCCTCTGCCACTGCATAATGATGAATAATGTCCACAAAGGGTTGTCTTCTCAAGTTTTTAACCCCCTGAAGTCTGAGAAATGGACCAGCCCAATTAACCCAGTCACACATGACAGGTGTGTTATGATTGGTGGAAACATCGGATGATAAACGGCTTGATACGAAGCACAAATGGGCCAGCAGTTTTACGACATGCGCTGATTCCCCAGAGCAATGGTTTGATTGCAGCGAGGAAGCCTCAGGACTCCCCAAAGGTTTGAAAGGACTTGCATTTGGAATTGCTGATTTTTTTTCCCATTGGTATTCATGAATTCGTGGGACAGGGATGCCTTTGTGTGATGTGACTTGACTGATGTACAATATGGCTAATAATCTGGTGGACATACCAATCACTAATTATCTAATACCATCCCTGAAAATGACAAGAAACAGTCGTGCCCTCATATATCAGAGTTATCAACCAAAAACTCATTGCCACCAAGCATAGTTGGGGCATCATTACAAAAATTAGAAAGCTTTAAACAACTCCTGCAATTAAATTATTTAATTTAAAAATGCAAAGATTGGGTGTAACAGGTCATTCAGTGTGATATAGCTAGCTGCCGCCGTGCCATGTGCCTGCCAAACTGGTGTGTTATGCTAAAGGGCGGTTATACCGGCTATACAGATACAGAAGCTGGTGTGTTACGCCGAAGGGCGGTTATACCGGCTATACAGATACAGAAGCTGGTGTGTTACGCCGAAGGGCGGTTATACCGGCTATACAGATACAGAAGCTGGTGTGTTACACCAAAGGGCGGTTATACCGGCTACACAGATACAGAAGCTGGTGTGTTACGCCGAAGGACGGTTATACTGGCTATACAGATACAGTCAGAAGCTGGTGTGTTACGCCGAAGGGCAGTTATACAGTACCGGCTATACAGATATAGATGCCTCAAGCTTCCCCGAAGGTTTGAGTTTGTGAGGACCTGGAATTGCCGATTTTTTTTCCTTTGGTATTCATGAATTCCCGGGATAGGGGATGCCTTTGTGTAGAGTTTCCTTTCAAGCTTCAAGAGCCGGGCAGCTTCAAGAGAGGGAGAATGAATGACTTCAGCGAGGAGGTTCAAAGGGACTTCCAGACCATTCAATTCCCAACTATCATGAAACATCATCCATCTTTACTTACCACTGTGGTGTGGAGGTCTGCATGGGGGGATCCTCGCAATGTTTAATGGTAAATTTAGAAGGGCTGGCAATGCTTAATGCTAAATTCAGGAGGGCCAAGATGGTAAGATGTCACAAGGACATTTTTTTTTCTTTTTGGCAAATCAGAAAAAAACAAGAGTTCCACGATCTCAAACCTTTGCCAAATCATGTTAACCGTTCGATCACATTTTTCTCTGTGATGATGTAAATATAAGCCTCATTTGCATGTATAATATAGAATTAGAAATCCAAGAACCAACAAATCAAATTGATATAGCCTAAAGCTTTAAAAAATCTGTGCAAGTATCAGCATGCTATAGGTGTAACGACAACATTAAAATGCGTTCATGGCCAGATGGCCACACAAACACAAGTGCCATGCTTAATGGCACAGAGAGGAGGAGAATTTGGCTGTCAGACTGTTGGACCAGACCAGGGCTCTAGCCAACTCAAATTTTTTTTCCAGGCCAGGTTCATGATTGCTTGCAGTCTAGGGGGATCCGGAGACAAATTTTAGATTTCCAAACCTTAAAACTTCCCACATTTTCCGAGGCAAATCATGGAGTTGAAAGTGGTTGGCCTTCGGATGTTATAAATATATGTTTACCCAAATTTTTTTATCAATTTTGTCCATCTAGGTTGACGGATTGGTTTTCAAATTTTGCCGTCATGCACGCCGAAAAGCAATTGACGGGAAAACGGTTGCTGGCTAAAGCGTATGGAGAAGAGGAGAATTTGGCTGTCAGCCTGTTGGGCCGGCCAGAGTGCATGATTTATGAGGATGATGGGTAATACCTGTGGGACTGACAGGAGAAACAGATGGGAGAAGGTGTAGTTATCATGAGGGACGTGTCACGCTCGCTGGGTCGGGCTCGGCTGTCTGTCATACTGCATGGCAGGATGATTATGGTTGGAATATGATATGGCCTGGGAAAAAAATGAAAAAAGTAAGGAGGGTTGGTAGGTGCCGTCCTGAAAAAATAGGGAGGGTAAAAAGTGAAATGCATCGCTGGGTCAGTTCTGCCTGTCAGTCATGGCAGGATGATTATGGTTGGAATATGATATGGCCTAGGAAAAAAAATTGTTGTGTTTTCGATTTTGGTCCTGAAAAAAAAAATAGGGAGCGTTGGTAGTTGACAGTCCTGGAAAAAAATAGGGAGGGTCGGTAGGTAAATCTGAAATGCAATGCTGGGGTGGGCAGGTCTGTCTTTCATCCTCCATGGAGAAATGGTTATGGTTGGAATATGATGGCCTGGGGGAAAATGTTTTTTATTTTTATTTTTTCAGTCCTGAAAAAAATAGGGTCTGTAACAAGTGGAAAGATGAGGACTGAACTTTTACTATTGGTACCAAAATATGAGCATTTTGTGGTTAATTCAGAGCTTGAATGGTAATGGTAATGTTCCTTGGTAATACATGGTTTTTTTATTGTTGTTGCAAAAAAATCATAAAAATGAATCAGAGAAACACACAAATTAAATCAAGTGTGACCTAAACCTGTATATTTCAGCATTATTTTAGCAATTCAAAGAAAAGAAGAAACAAGAAAATAGAGAAAAATTCTTCCTTCAGTGAGTCTCACTTGTTTATTCAGCTCACACGTACGGAGCAATCTACCAGCAGAATGAAACATAACGTTCCCAACATGATAAATAAGACTTCTTTTGC